TGTTCTGTACTGAAACACGTAGGCCCATGTGGACTTGAAGCTTGTATGAACATGAATGTTTAGTGAACAGATAGGCATCTACGTCAAAGTCTGCGCCACGTTTTAGCATGTTTGTGGCCTCTATCGGTTCCTGAGATGGTAAATTCCATAGCTCCTCAAACATGTGACAAGACAAAACCAATTCCTTTAATTTAATTTTCCTTTTTCTTCAAGGAGAACCTGTGTGCCTCTTTGCAAATTCCATCTCCTTAATGTTGACTGTTCAAAATAATTTTATAATAACTGTCATCCCCTGTCATGTCACTTCATGGGAGGATTGGTGTAGTATACGGGTTTGAGTCTTTGGTGAATGACTAAGTGAATTTTACTTGCAAAGTCCATTACACTTGAGTCAGCAATCTAAACTGTTAGGTTGCAAGTTCCTGGATACTTCTGGAGTTGTTTTTGAAGACTGTATGAGATATTTCTCGTATTGAGACAAATGCTAACGATGAGCTTAGTAGTCCAGAAGTCTTATAGATGAGCTTATTTAGAATTCTCATATCAGTTTTTGCATTTATTAATTTAAGGGAACAATTTTAAAGCAGTTTTCCAATTCATTCAGATTAGAAGTTATTTTCTCTTTCTGGAAAAGGTCTTTTTAGTTGAATGTTTCACCTCAGGAGAGATGCTAACCATAGAGAGGAAGTCAAAAAGTAAATAGAGAGACTTATCAGAGTATTAGAATGATTGTAAGACTGAGGAGACTGAAGCAGCCAAGGGACAAGGGGTGGGGTGGGGAGGAAGCATAGAATACTGAATGGGAACCTTAAAAGTTATGAAGTATACAAGAGGCTACTGCAAGAAGGCAAGTACTTTGTACTCTTTATCTGTGGTGTTTAGGACAAGTAAGAATTGACTTCAACAGCAGCAAGAAAATTTCATACTGGCTGGAAAGAAAAACTGCCTAGTGTAATGATAATGAATCTCTGAACTAGGTTATATGTGTCCAGCACTGGAGATCTTTCTTAACAGTACAGAGATATATACACTGGACATCTTATAAGTATAGCTGATTCTGTCTTGGGCAAGGGTATTTGTTAAATGGCATCCTGAGACCATTTTTATGCCTTTTTTTTTTTTTTTTAATTCAAATATCTTCTTTTATTCTGAGTTTTTAGCATATTGGTTTATGATGTCTCCTTTTAGAGTCTCTTTTATTTGTGCCGTATATAGAGCTGCTAATGTGGCTCATTTAATCTCTATGGCACCTGTTCAGCCTTGCTTAAGTGCCTTTTAATTAGGTTACATATGTTTATGCAATTATTCTTTTAAAAAAATAATGCTATTTTTGGTCTTTTTCCTCCATGAGACAGACTACATTTACCTGGTTTTAGACAGTATTGCAGACAGAATTTTCTAAGTCAATTCAGTTTTTAAATTTTTAATTTCTTATTAGATCTTTGTATGAGAAGGTCTTATTTTGGATGAGTTAACGTATTGAGCATTTATACCACAGTAATTAGAGGAGGCAATGACACATAGATATTGGCAGTGATATAAGTACTTGTGTCAATATTCCCACCACTGATTTTTGTAAATCTGAAAAGGCTGATAAGTACATCTGATTCCTTGATAAAGGTGGCATGTGTACTTTTCATAATGCAAGAGATGCTGTGGAGCTCCTTACAGCAAGAACAATAGGTCAACCACTGTAGGTGTAATTTTAAAATGCAAATTTATTTTCTTTTGTGTAATGTAATTTCCTTTTATTTGGTATAATGAATAACTTCTACCAGCACTTTACTGATAAAGATTTTCATTTGTGTCATCTTAATACAAAGTGAATTCTTCATTTGCTTTTCTGCTTTGGCAGGATCTTTTATAGCACTACAGTATTGCAGGACCCAGTTTATTTCCTGTTTCCTTACAGAGGGGTGAAGCAAGTAGATACTTTTGTGAAACATGTAGATTCTTGACACATCGATTTTTTTTCCCATAGAGTGACTTTCAAAACTATAAAAGTCATTTTCTAAATTAACAGGAGTAGCAAGCAATGAAGTTTGTTTCTAATTGATCCAGAAAGCTTTGCAATCTATTTTATAAGTTGTGTAGATGAAGTATCCCAGAAATTCTCCTAAACCAGACATATTCCATAGGTAGTTTCTTGTTTGTGTTTCAGCACTGGGTTTTTAAGGATCTTTGGAAGGGATTCATCTTCTCTAACTCTTGGCAAGAGCATATAGAGATTTACTCCAAACTGTACACTTTTGTCTCCCTTTCTCCCAATCAGTCATTCTAGGGAGTAATTAGTCTATCTCAATTGTCTATTTTAGGATGAGATGCATTACTGTCAGTAAAAGCCTGCTTGTTTCTACTGGTGAAAATAATAACTCAAAGAAATTATGTCTTCATAATTAGCTCAAATATGGATATATCAACATTTCTGATGTTTAAAAAAATCTCACTCTTTATGTTGTATTATATTGTGGGTTTAATAGTATGGCTTTGTACAGGGCCTAAATAATCCATCCAGCAAATCAGTGTGAAGGTGCTAGGTTTCTAGATCTGTGCTCTACAAAAAACATAAGATGGAGCCAGGCATGTCTATGCACATTTATAATTTGTGTCTTTTGTACTTATAACAAGTCCAGTGGAATAAATGTGCTTTGTCAGCAAGCCACAAGGTCTCACAGCTATATTTGAAATGTGCGTTTGAACTTCATCAGTGAAGCGCTGGTAGGAGGTTGAATGTTTAATGTTCCACCAAATGGCTTTACACAGATCTTTAAACTACATACATAATACAGAAATGGAGGTCCACAAACAGTTTAGGGGTACCATTTGCTCTGAGGTATCCTATTGCTGAGCCACATATCAAACTAACAGCATTCCTCCTGTTGTAACAGTAGTGGTATCTGAAACAGGATTAAATCCAGGAGAATCTGCTTGCTGTCTAAAGATCTTGAAATCTGTATCATTCTCAAATCTTTAGGTGACTGGATGATATATAGGCCCAAGTGTGAGTGTAGAGATCAGATTTGAGAAACGTTGTATATATATCAGTTCTTTCCCTTCACAGCCACTAAAATCTCATCTGTTTTATATGCTAATTTTGTGATGAGATGAACTTGAAGTACTGATATTTTCCTGTTTGCAAGACAGAGAACCTAAACAGTCATTTCAGATGGGGTGCTTTCTATAAAGATCATCAGGGTAGATGAATCCCATTTTAGGTAATCATTTCACTGTTTAAATGTAGCGTGGTTTCTATAGGACTATAAGTCAGGGTTCTTTTCTGAGAAAAAACACCCAGTGTTCCAGTTCTGCTTCTTTTCAGTCTAAAACCCCACCCAAATAAACAGCAAGGCTGTAGCAAAATGGGAGTTCCATCCTACTGGCAGCAATGCAAGGCAGTTACAGGTTAATATTCACTTGATCTGTGCTTAACGTTCTACTTAAATTTCATTATGAAGTTTGTATTGACATCTAGAAAGACTTTAACAGCTTTCTTACCTCCCTGGGGCTCCCCCCAGAAATGCTGTGTGATAGTCCTCAAAAGCTCCATTTCAAGGGATCTTGACAATTAGGAAAAAGCAGTGTGATTGTTTGAGCTGTTTTGAAATATTGGCTTGCCGCCTACACAGAACTGAACAAAGGCTTACTCTGGCTTTTAGGTCAGACCAACACAGGCCAAGCTTCAGCTCTGATTTGCCCCATACAAGGAAATATAATGGAGTGGAAGCAGCAGCTACTTAATATAGGAGTTAAAATTACCCATGACTGAAGTGAGCACATCAATCAAAAGTTTGGGCATGTAATGAGCTAGAAAAACTGATTTGGCAGGTTTGGGGGCAGGAAAAGGCTTCACTCTGCATTCAGCAGTTTCCAAATTACCATGACATCCCTTTGCATAAACCACCCGACTTCCAGCAGGTGGATTTTAGAGGCATTGTGTTGCCGGCACAAAGATGGATCAAGTGGGAGCATTCAAAATAGCTTCCTGTTTTGTGTTCTTAAAATCAGAATTCCATGAAGTCTGCCAAAATTCTTAACATTTTTAGAAGCTAGACAATAAAATAATAAAAGGGACAGAAAATCAAGAGTAAAAAATGTGACCGGCTTAACACATTAAAGCGCTTGCTTTCTGTGCCTTGAAAAACCCAATTTTTAAATATAAAAAGCTACATTTAAATGAATCAGAAAAAAAAGCTTTAATCTTTCTGAGGTGTCTTCCTAATGCATGCATGTCATTCAGTGTTCATTGCAGTAACTCCTAGCATCACCTGCATGCTTTTTGATTTATTATTCCTGTCTTGATCTTTTAGAAAAAGGTACTGACAAGTTTACATGTCTAAAATCATTAGCTAAAAAAAATCTCTCCTAAATATATAATGATTATAAAAGTGCATTTGGGAAGAGATTAGATGCATGTTATGACACTTTTCTATAAATGCCTTCTAGGCATCTATATATAGGGTATCAAATTCTTCTTTCAGATTCCCACATGGTAGTGCAATTGCTAAAGGAAATCCTTGCAATCCTCCCAGCCAGAGAAGATCACAGGCAGTGTGGGGTTTTAGGGTTTGCTTCTAAGTTAGGGTATTGGGGGCACTCTATTCTGGGAGATTTTTATCTTATTTTTATTTTTTTTTTTAACAAGGAGTCTTCAGTTTTAAAAGCGGACTATGCATTTGCAGTTTCTATACTCATTTTTTTTAAATAAAGCCATTTTAGTGTACGTTGCATGCAATGCTAAAATGTTTCTCAAAGAAACTGCAGGAGTCTGCAGGACTGGTAACCCACCCAACTGGATGTTCACCATGAGCCACTGCAAAGTGGTTAACACAGATATTCATAGAATTGCTAGAAACATGCAGTGCTTAATGGTCATAGGATTTCCAGTTGTGTGGAATTATGGTCTAGTTTCAGGAAACAGTAGGCTGCAAAATAAAGCCTTACAGACTGGAAACAGTTCACTTGTAATTGTTTTATTTTTTTTCTTATTTATGCCATTGTAGAACAAGACCTCAAAATTTCAGCCTGGACAGGAGATAAGAAAAGGTGGAAGAGAAGGAAGATGAGAAGGAAAATTGCAAATCTTTAACAACTACAGAAACAAACACCCTTTGGAAGTCAAAAGTTTAAAATCCTGATGCAGGTGTTTTCCAGAAGTTGAAAAGAAGACTTTACTCAACAAGGAGTTTTAAATTAAAAACAGAACATATCTTCAAGAATGATTCAACTTCAGCTGGACACATCATTGTTAGCTGTCAGAAACTTAGTTAAAAATTAGGCTCCATTTCAGTCAATAGCTGTTTGCTATTGATTTCTGTGGAGGCAGGTTTTTTCCCCAACTTCTCATCAGCATATTACTGGAAACTTCCCCTCTGTTTCTGCTTTCTAACACAACACAAATCTCAGCACACAAAAGACTATTGACCCCTTATAGCCATTTTAGCTGTGACTCTTCACATTCCTGTTCTTCTATCCTCATGTCATCTTTCCTCCTTTACCCACAAACAAATTGTTTATGAACCATTTTCTCTTTATAAAAATGCATTCAATAGCAGTCTCAAAAGAAAAAGCCCTCAGCAGTCATTGAATTTGTTATACTACGTATGAAGGCATAAGCCAGGGATATTATTTTTAAAGGACAGAATTTCACAGTAACAGTGATATTAAAAAGCAAATAATGTACTGGTCTCATTGCCTCTCATAACTATCCCTTTGGTTTGGTTAGAGAAGAATTAAAAAAAGAAGTCTTCATTAAAGTGCATGTGCTTGAAGTCTGGAACTTGAATGATGTATACTGGCTCTAGATCAAGAGGATACTTCTGATGTCTTTTTTTTTTTCCCCTCCAGTTGCTAAATCTACAACCCCTTCACAGCCCCCATCTTCTTCCTTCCCTACCTCTAATGGAATAAAGTCTTCTGAGCTAAAGCCAAAAATTGTTTTGAATTTAATCTGTGGTAATGTAGTCTGTGTCTCCTTTTAAGGGCTGACAGCAATTTATTGTTCTGCATATTTCATTCAACTTAAAATCAAATCCAAACATTCCATTAATATAGGTAAAATATCAAAATGATGAAGCTGTTACTTATATCTGCAACAAAGACCTTAGCTAACAAAAATCTTTCCAGGGACTTCAGTTGCAGCTGTATAAAATCCTGTGTTCCTCGCATCAAATTTTGTATTTTTTATTGAGAATACCTTCCAAAAGACAATTCCCAATTAGAGGAAGTCTCATATTCTTAAGTCCTTGTTAAATTACTTTAATTTCACAGCCTCTGTATCCAGTATGTTGCTTTTAAAATTGCTTAAGTAGTTCTATGGCTTTTATGGGATGGGGGGGTAAAGGCCATGCCTAGGCACAGTTATAGCTGAACTCTTTGGAAAGAAGAAACAAGCTGCCTGCATTAAGTCTCAAAGTCAAGAAAAAACAGAACAAAAATGACTTATTGAAAATGTACTTAAAGAGAGGAAATGCGCTTACAATTAAGAATTTAAAAGAAAATTTTTCAGACAAGGCAGGTTGGTTAAGTCAGTACCTGATTTTTCCTAAATGAAAAAGAGATGGAATAGTTATTTTTCCTTCTACTCAGGGATAATGTCTCTTTAAGCTATGGGAATTAAATGTCTGTTTTTCTCCATCTTTTCCCCCTGCAGTACATAATCACTGTCTGTCACACTTTGATGTCATAATCATCCACTGAAGCTTCACTCTTCAGGTGTAAATCTGCTTAACACACCAGAAAAAAAAAAAAAAGAAGGAAATGCTTTTTATTGCCTTGCAGACATGGTGTTATGTCACTCTTGCCTTAATGAAACTATTTTGAAAGGCAAAAGAACATTTTTAAAGCAATACCTTAATCAGTTCAAATAGTAACTGCAACTATTTTCTACTAAGTAAGCATAAAGGATCCTTTCTTGTGTGTAATGTGTGTGAGCAGCATGACGTCAGTGTCACAATATCTTTTTGCAATCATTTTTCCATGCCAGGAAGACATCTAAAACTTGGTATAGATTTCAGCTGTGAATGAAGTACTCTTTTATGTATTTATTTTTTCAAAAAAAGGTGGTTTACATTTGTATCAGCTGGCCCAAAATGAAGACAGTTTCAGTCCATTTGATGTTATATTATGTATTTAATGCCAAGTGAAAGTGCTATCTCCTGTTTAATAATTCCTGATATTTATTTTCCTCATTCTCAATTTTTCTGTACTCTTTCCTCTTCTTAATTCTTGTCCAGTTTTTATCTAACCTACTAAGTCATTTAACGTATGATTCACTACATCCCTCTGTTAAGATTAATTACCATAATGAAGAAAAAGACTTTCTCATTTCCAGTAATTGTTGACATTGTTCTGCTGGACACCATATTATTTGGCCAGCTATTGTGAAAAGGAAAAAATAAGAAATCAAAGAGAGAGAGGAGAAAGAAGAATAAAAAAAATCTGTGCTCAATATCAGTATCCCACATTATTTCTTTTGCAACTTTTACATTATTACTGTAGGGTTTTCATAAGCCAATTCTAATTTCCTTAAAATAGTGACAAAAGAAGATTTTCAGTATAAAATTATAACTGAATGTTAGTATCCAACCTTAGGAAGTCACCTCAACCATACAACTTTTGTTTCTTGATTTTATCCTTGATATATTACCAATTTTTTTTTTAATTAATAATGTTAATATTATTATTTAAAACAATAGCAACAATAAATTTCTAGAATTATTGTAACACAGTGTTGTTGGCAAGCATTCCTGAGCTGTTACTTATTTTATGTAGTATGTCTGTAGAGAAGCTGTAGCCAGATGCCAAAAAATATCTCTTTGCTCTATGGAATACTCAATGTTCTTGTTATTATGTTATGATCATTTAAGTTTAATTATCCTTTAGTATGATAGTATAATACTTACAGTGCAAACTGCTTTCCCTGCTATATTTCTCTGGTGTTGCTTCTGCCTGTTTAGTTTTCAAATGGTATTTCCCTACATGGTATAGGGGTAGAAACTGTGGTTCCGATATATTTACATTCAATGTGAATAGTATGATATAAAATCAGTTCACTGAACAAAGTAGGTAGAAAATATTCTTGCATTTCATTACCCATATCATGTAGCAATTTTAACTAAGTTTAGGCTTTGACTACCTCAGTAAAAGCCAGAATAGCCAAGGAAAAAGAGGCTAATTTGTGCACCGTCCCTACATTTGATCAACTGCACTTAATAAAAGGCATGCAAGGAATCCACTTGAAGGATTGATCAAGGAATGCAGATAACCTGTACTGGTGTCAAATAAAATGGATGCTGGAAAATTCATGTCAAACTCATGAATGCAAACATGAAATATCTCTCGTTCTGTACTTTTAATGACAAAATGCTAAAGAGAATATAGATACTTTTCCTAAAATGAACAAAACATTGAAACCGTAAGACAGCATCTTTGGGATCAAGGAAAGAAACACTGGCTGTTCTTAGTACAACTGTCTGTCAGCTTGAATATGATCTCATATTCTTTCATATTATTCTGAATGCTCCAGTTTAATAACATTATGGACACTTTAATGCATAACATTCTATTAAAAAAGGAAGGAAATAAATTATATGTGGGTTTCTTTTAAGACCCAGCAACTATTGTTTGAGTTTCTATGCCTGTTCTTTCATTATCCCAAAATGAGTTTCCTTTCAGAGACAGCAGAATGGTTTGACACAACAAAACAAATAGCTCTCCTCCCCCTCCCTATTAGACTCACAAGCCACGTGCAGGGCCGCGCTGCTGCACTAAGCACAGTGTGTTTTATAAATCAGTCAATTTATGCTGCTGCACAACAGCAGACTCAGCTTAATGGTGCATGCTGCTTTTAAAGGTACAACTTTCAAATTATTTTTCTCCTTGGCACTTGTGAGTTGAGGAGCCAGTAACATTAGCTCAACTCAAGCCTGTCTCAAGGAAGTGTCTGAGTCAAGCTCTGTCACTGCAAAGCAAACACAAACCTGATTCACAAGTTGTCTTCTGCCTTTCAGAGAAGTTGGGCTGTGAAAAAGCAGACTGCAGTTGTGTGTAATTTGGGTCTACATAAGGGGATGCCTTCTGCCTACTGACTTTATAAATCTGCTTCAGTTGCAAACTCAGTGTGGAAACTATGCTATGGAATGCAGGTATTAACAAATGCATTTTAAAATAAGTATCAAAGAAGAGCACTAATGTCCATATCACAGGGCTGCTGTTGACTTTTTGATTTACAGTCTGACATAATTCAGGTGGTAGTTCAATAAAGTGACTAGATGCATTTGAAATGCAAATATGTAAGTATCTTTACTGACTCCAACATAATTGCTGACATCTTGAAGTTGTGAAGTTAAACAAGCATTTCAGAGAGGAGTAATGTCTTTTGGTAAACCTAGTGGTATAGTTAGAGAAAGAACACAGACACAAAATCCATTTCTCTGTTCAATTACTAGTTAGTGTAGTGAAAGATCACTCCCCATAAGCCTTGCTTCCTTTCCTAAACCCTGGCCATCATAGCTAATGTTCCCCTCCATTCTTAATTTTAGGCATATATTTAAGAATTTGCTGCATCAGAGATTCAGTGAAAGCCCTGAGATCATTTACAGTAATTCAAATGACAACTGCAATATTCAGTTTTTAAAGTTAGTACTGATGCAGCTGTACGCTAGGTCTACATTTTTTCTCTAACCCTTCCCCTCATGTGAACATCATTCATACCATTTCTGGCCAAGCTGACTCATGTGATTCCTGGCTGGCTGAGAGCAACAAGGTGACATGGACTCCTGTTATTGCCATAAACATGTTATGCAGAATAAGGGCATCATCCACAGTGTGTCCTACCCATGTTGTCAAAGCCTTCATCTCCTAATATATCCCCTACCTACTTATATTAGGAATTCATCTTGCCCAGTTTTACATGTGTAACTGGTTAAAAATTATTTCTTTAGTAAAAGAAATCGTTCCAGTTAAAAACCTTATTTCTAAGGATCTTTGGTCTTTGAAATTACTCAAACATCTCTGAAATGATCCAGAGCTCCTGGGAAAGATATGCAGAAAGGTAACAAAGATAGTCACAGGTATAGAAGTGTTTCTGCATTAAGACTACTTTCAAAAAGAGACCACAAAATGACATAAGACGCAGTCCTATAAAAATATCAGTTCTAAAAGGAAGTCTAACAGAAAATCTGTTTTTCTCACTACAAGATGTTTTAAGCAGGCTTAAAACAAACAGAAGGAATCACTTTCTTAAACTGACCTGTTATCTTTAAGATTACATTATATAGATTTAATATGACTTGTCACAAAATCACTATGTTTATTGTTAGAATTTCTGGAAATATGCAAAACTAAACAGAAAATTAGTATGTCACAGTTCTGTGAAAAAAAAAAGGGAGGAGACGAGTTTTAAGAGTATTACAAGATGGTTTTTGTTCTTACTCGCCATTAGTCCATTTCTATTGTTCTATTTCTATAACTGTATTTTTGCATCTTTTATGGCTTGACATTGTCTCAGTTGTAGGTCACAAAGTAGAACCTGTACCCTTGAAAGAAAAGTCTAATATAGGTAACATAAATAATTATATGCTTTTGAGATTTACAGATAATTACTGCACCCTGAGTAGTTCCACTGCTTGTTCTCAGTTCTACGTTTTTGAAATGCTGTATGCATAAAACAATAGAAATGCACTATGACTATGCCATTCAGTACAAATCTCACAGCAAATATAACTAAACTATCTCTGGCAGATGTTTGGCTAAACTGTTAATAATCTTCAGTGACATTAAAGTAAATATGCAAACCTGATTTATTTAATTATTTTAACTGGAATTTCTATTTTTTTCTCTTTCACTGGTAGAATTTTAAAGACATACATTAAAGACCAGCGGTACATCTTAACATACTTTTGGAAAAATGTAACACATATCCCTTTTGTGAAGCTTCTGTGGAGATTGCTGATCATGAAGAACAGAGATTTTTGTCACTAATTACAAAATGTGTACGTACATCAACACCTCAAATGTACAACTGTATATCTATCTTTGAATTTTCTCAAGTGACTTTTTCAAATAGAAGACATAGGGACAGGCTTCTTCTTATAATTCAAGTCTTGAATTCTTTGAATCTCTCTGCTATTTTTGCATTCCTATGCATTCCATATGACCCAGCTGCAGCATTATGATGTGGTTTTGCCCACTGCAAAAGAGTTATCATCTAGAGTATTTCAGATATCAGAAGCTGATCTTTGACCTTCTTTATGACAGGTCCTTTTTTCTTGCAAGTTTTGCTGCTATCCTGGCATGCCTGACAGTAAATGGTAGGGCACACAGACTAATGACAGTAAATGGTAGTGCACGCAGACTAATGCATTAACAGACACACCCATGCCTGTGAGACATCTCAGCAGCTAATCCATTTTGCAAGGCAATGCTTCATGTACTAGTAACAAGCATATTCTGAAAGTTAGTAAAAGTGGAATTTTCTCCATTCTCTATGTAAGAGAGTCAGCAAAAAATTCTTTCAGTCTGTCTAATTTGCTGACCAAACACATCTCCTGCCAGGCAGCAAATATTTCACATCTTGTAAACAAGTAGCAATAGTCACACTTTGTATCGCTGACTAGTGCTTTGGTGACCATGCAACGTTTAATCCCATCACCTTGTCTTCTCTACAATTAACAAGAGTCTTGCTGTATTTACAGGTGGTGGATTAAACAAGCAGACAACTGTTCTTCAATTCCCTTGAGGTTTTTTTTTCACAGAGAA